GAGTGAGTGAGTGAGAGAGAAAAGAGAGAGAAGAAAGAAAGAGAGAGAGAGAGAGTGAGTGAGTGAGTGAGTGAGAGAGAAAAGAGAGAGAAGAAAGAAAGAGAGAGAGAGAGAGTGAGTGAGTGAGTGAGTGAGAGAGAAAAGAGAGAGAAGAAAGAAAGAGAGAGAGAGAGAGAGAGCGAGAGAGAGAGAGAGAAAGAACGAGAAAGCGAGCGAGAAACGCAAAGCCTCACCATCTAAACTTCAATATTTGCAGAACAACATCACACCGTTGTTATTGACTCAAAAACACAATGCATCTATCACTCACACAACACGGCTGCAGCCGAAAATCTCATAAACCCACACACAACCAAACAGCTAAGAAAGTGAGAGTACCCCCCCCCCAACCTTTCTTGGCACCACACCGCACACACAAGAACCAGTAAGCAGTAGTAAGGCCCGTGCCTCCTTCACTAATTGGCCAGAAGGCGACCCCCCCCCCTCACACACACACCCGCAGTCGGGAATCTGTAATGACCCAGTTAGGCACCGCTATAATTCTATATAGTCGGTCAATGGTCGTCTGAACACCGGGTGGCAATTATTGGCCAATGACCTCTAGTCTGAGTGAATGTCACGGTTCAGATCAAGTTCATGTGGGGGTGCGGGTGGCTGTGGGGAAGGGGGAGTGAAAGAACGGGAGAGAGGGGGGGCTCATCGAAGGGGGTCAGACGGGGTGAGGGAAGGAGGGGAATGAGAATGGTTAGGAAAGAGAACAGAGAAAAGGGGAACGGGCGCGCGGCGGGGTCTGTGGTTAGGACTTGCACTATGGCGCGTGGGGTGGGGGGAAGGTTGCTGGGGTGGGGGGAAGGGCAGGTTGCTGTTACGCCACATTGTCATCACAATGACCGGACATTGTCGATTGTTGCCATATCACCCCGTGGCAATATTTCTCCCAATCACAATGCACCCATTGTTCCTCGCAACAAGAAATATACAGCAAGCTGATGCAGGCACATATCTATATATATATAGCCCGGGATACGTTGTCAGATTCATCCCGAGTGGTTACAACGTCATAGCCTTAAAATGTTATTACTTTTAAAGTGAAATGTCGTATAAAAAGTTTAGAATTTTGTTTTATAGATTTGACTCATGACAGTTATAGATCTAGTAATTTTTGATGTTTCTGACCGCGGGCTACTAAACAAGGGGTCGTGCCGGAGAATATACCAAGAACATATATCTATCTATCTACACAATGTCTTGTATTGCATTCTCTATAAATTCCATCCTCACGCTCACACCTACCCTCACCCATGTTCCCCCACCCCAGTGAAAAAAATACACGGGGGCTCGAGGCGATTTAGCCCCCGAAATGCCAAAAAGAGCCCCCGTAAATTTGCATAGAGTTCAATGCAAACCAAATTTTAGAGTGCTATTTTCATGCACGCGAGCTTGAAAAGTAGCCCCCAAAAAATACATTTAATTTTTCCCCTGCCCCACCCGCGTTTCCACCCTAGACTTATCCTAGCCCCTCCGCACTGGTCATAGCTTTCACACTTGCCCCACAACATCACCCCTGCTCTCACATTCACCCCACCATCAACCTTGACCCCGGTCCGCCCTCAGAAGCAAACGCCAGCATGCAAGCAGACACCTCCGGGACATGACGGGATGTCAACCACACATCGTAAATCACCATCACGGTACTAAACCATTAATACATTCTTTGCTCACTGGCTACCTCTATGTCTGTCTGTTTGTCAATTTGACCGTCTGTGCATTTATTTTGCCTGCTTTCATGCCTGGCTACATGCCTATACCTCTTTTTCCCATATAGATCTATTTGTCTCTGTTACTCTATCAATTCGTCCCCATCTTCTCTCTGTCTGTCTCCCTCTCCTCTCCCTCTCCTCTCCCTCTCTCCCTTTCTCTCACTCTCAGGCCATAATAAAAATATTGTTTGTTTGCCTTCACCCGACCGACCCGCACAAAATATTCGATTGATCTTTTTTTTAAACAAATTGTATCACTGTACATTATATAAATTTGTAGGAAATACATTATATGTACTAAGCAAAACAAACATTCAACATAAAAGGTATCTCCACACAAGCACACCCGAGCATGTACACACCATGCTGAATTTGTAAAAAGACCCCCGCCCCCCGCCCTAAAAAAAAGCCGACCTACCTACCCAAACTTTTTAGCCTGGGTCGGGTGAGGGCAAACAAATATTTTTTTAATTGTCGCCTCACGAGTCACGTACTGTCTGTCTTGGCTCTATCTCTCTCCCTCTCCCTCTCAGTAGCTCACTTTAATTTATTAATTGTCTTTTAATTTGTTAAAAACACGTGTGAAGCAGACGCGCACCTTCTCAATAAGATGTAGATCGACTGCTGTGTGAATATTTAATGAGATTACTACTGGATACCCCAGTCTATTACCGCTCAAGGGGTCGTTGTCGTATCAGGTACTACAGATATGTACCCGAGGTACATATATGTATACACAAAGTGTACCAGACTTCTACTACAGAAGTGTACCCTAACCCTAAACATACCTCATATAAAAATATAAACGTAATACTAAACAACCTAAAACTACCTCGGGTACATATCTGTAGTACCTGATACGACAACGACCCCATCTGCTCTATTACCTCGTTACCACGACAAATAACTACATAGCGGGTTCATGCTAGAAACCCATAGCGCGTGCGTGAGGCCCACAGTTATCATGCTAATCAAGTTTATATAAACTTTATTAGCATGTGAACTAAAGAGATCCGATGAAATTATTCAATCGGCCACAGTTTTTGTGAGTTATTCGCTTCGTTTTCCACGCATGTGTGTGTATCTGTGCGCCGCAACACCAATGGCAGTTTCAAGGGATGCTCGTTGATTCGTGTGGTGGCTCGCGGCAAAGCGCAGAGCAGCACGCACGTGGACATTGGTCACACTGCATCAGTGTGCGATTCCTCCAGTCTCTCTCGTCCACTTTCTCTGTCGCCCATCTTATTCATCACTCTCTCTCCCTCTCTCTTTTTCTTTCTCTTCCTCTCTCTCTCTCTCTCTCTCTCTCTCTCTCTCTCTCTCTCTCTCTCGTCCCTCCTCCTCTGCGTGCGTTTTCCTTTTCCTCTTCCTACCCGTCTTAGCCTTATCTCCAGGGTGAGGCTCCCGTTCGCGATGGATGATATCTCGCGTGGTCTCCTTCTCTCTCTCTCTCTCTCTCTTATCGTCTCTCGTCGTGCTCTCTCTCTCTCTCCTCCCTCTCTCTCTGCTCCTTCCTCGTCGTCTCTCTCTCTCTCTCATCTCTCTCTCTCTCTCATCTCATCTCTATCCTCTTCTCTCTCTCTCGTCTCATCTCTCTCTCTCCTCTCTCTCTCTCTCTCCTCTCTCCTCTCTCTCTCTCTCTCGTCTTCGTCTGCGTCTCTTCTGGGCATGCCTCTCTCTCTCGTCTCTCTTCTGTCTCTCTCTCTCTCTCTCTTCTCTTCTCTCTCTCTCTCTCTCTCTCTCTGCCGTCTTCT